AAAATAAAAAAATGCGTTTTAATGATAGAGCCTGTAACCAGAAAATGTTTTCTATTGATTGATTATAATAATTCTCATTGATTAATTTTGTGATAGAAGTCCATTAATCCACTAATGATTCAAGCACTAAAAGGGAACACTGATCCATTGAGAAAAGCATCCCGTTTTCTACCTTATCACCACAAAATGTATTTGAATGCCTCTGTCCTTATGTCATTAAGCCCATTCCCACACCAGTATTAAGCCACTAGCGGTAAACCCAATTAGAGCCTGGTCTCCACCAAAGACAGGCTTAGGTCCCATAAGAGAAGGCGATTTGAGCCGAGCCAACAGGCAGGGAATATCTGGGGATGTGGGAATGTTCGTTGGGAATGCTGGAACGTGGTGCATTCACAGGATGAGCGGACGTTACCGGCTTTGGAGCGCCTGGCCGCCAGCGCTTAAACCTGGCTAATCTGATTGGATTAACACCAACCTGCCTGGCTACACATGAGCGCACGCACACACTCATACAGACAGGGACACACACACACATTTGTACTATATGCCAATCAGTCGGGGCTGCAGCTTCCCGGAGTTCATCTGGATTCTGGGTTGTGCTGGCTGGCTGGCTGGCTGATGGCACCATGCTGGGCTACCACATGCACACGCATCCTCTCTCACGCCACACACCCACACACACACACACACACACACACACACATTAGAGTGCAGTGATTTGTGCTGTGAATCTGAAACAGACCTATTGAAAGAAGAGTAAAGCCCAGTGCTTGACAACCGTGCTAATTGACTAGCCCCCTCCCCAGCAATGAAACTAAACGTTTTCACCCCTCCATCTTTTATCTTTTCAATCACTCCCTGACAGCTCTCCTCTTGTCCCACACTCATCCCATCCTCTTCCTCATATTACTCTTCATCTCCTCCTACCCCCCCCTCCCCATTCCCTCATACTCATACATGTAATCATTCATTAGAACCAAGGCAGTTGTCCATTAGGCAAAGCAGCCATTTTGGAAATTGCAGCAAATCTTCCATGAAAAGACATTTCCTCTAATGCGGTAGTCACGCTCGAAGGGAGAGGGAGAGAAAGATGGCAAAGGGAGAGAAAGAAAGACGAGGGGGCAGAGATGGAGAGAGGAGAAAAAGAGGAGAGAGAGGGGGAGAAGAAAAGTGAAAGAGAGAGATAGAGAGTGAGCCCCCCGGCCATAAAGCCACCAAGCGGAAAGCAAGCCTGCTGTTTGATTAGAGAGTGACACCATCATGGAGGGAAGGAGGGAGAGAAAGGATGGAAGGAGAGGGAGGGAAAGTGTTTCAGAGGCAAGTAGAAGGGATGAAGAGGAGGCGGGAGAGAAAAAGATGGAGAGAAAAAACAGGGAGTGATTTGAGAGGGCCCAGATAGAGGCAGTAAAATTAGCCCCATCACTTTGCTTACTAAGACGCTCTATGACACACTAGGATTAAAAACACACACACACACACACACACACAGTCATGATTTGCGTGCACACACACCACACATGCACAGGACAGATGGTATCCTCCATCTGAAAGTGTGGCTCTAATTTGAGTAAAGTGATAGGAACCTCCTTAACCAATTAGAAGCCCCATTTCTAAGGCATTGCATCAGGGTCCTGTGTCTGTTTGTTCCACACACTTGTTAAAGTGTGTGTACTTCTATGTGTGTGTATTAGTGTGTGTCCCATGGGATCTGTGAAAAACATTAAAACTGATATAAGAGGTGGGAAGTGACAAATCCAGTCTGAGTGGCTCTCTGCTGAGTATGGGAGTCCTTTTTCTCCCACAATGCCACTGTTCATCTCGATCTCATCACCAATCAAAGACAGACCTGTCTCTCCTACTACGAGCCATTCATCTCACTGCCGCTCGCTCCTACTTAATGCGCCTTCCTCTAAAGCTGACACATTTGTCACCAGACCAAACTAAGCCTAATCCATCGTAGCATTTTTTTTTTCCTCTCCCACAATTTATGATACACTGAATTTGAAAAAGCACCATATTCAATCCAATTGCCTCAATGTCTCGATAAAGTTTTGATGCCCTCTTGAAGTAGAAACATTATGAAACTGTGCAATACAGAGCAACTCAGACCCATCTGTAGAATCAATGAATAATACACAGCAACAGGTCTTGGAAAATGTTTAAGTAGTAATAAAAAAAACAGCTCAATAGCAGGTTTGGACAGTCAGAACTGTTTTTTTTAAATAGTAGTAAATCACTCTTTTGCACCGTTAGTCAGATGAAACAAGCTATTTAAATCTGTCAACATAAGCTCTGCAAACTTGTGTCGAGAACCAAGATACTATTTTCTGGCATGGTTAACCAATAATGAAAATAATTGTTCTTGGCACTAACAACATATATTTGTTTTCATCATAGAATGAAAGTTTAAAGTAATGACAGTGAATTTCAATTATAAGTTACCTAATAACAATCTATTTGTACTTTTCCCCCCTCTTTTCCTCGTGAGTTGTGTTTGACATCCATGTGCTTGGATTCAGCTGATGGAAATGGTCCTAATTCACATTTTATTTTTTGCAGCATTTGAAACGTTTGTGCAAAATTCACTTGACAGCTGGACGAGAACACAGCTGCAGAGAGATGCTGGATCTCAAAACTGGAACTGCCGCTGCTGCGAGGTTAAACATTTCTAGATTGGATGTTCTCTCTGCTTCTCACAGTTGAAAAACACAACTCCAAACCACTTCCTCCAAAAGGTGAACTGTCATGCCACTGGCTGGGGCTACAGATTGTTTATCTCCTCCACACTGACAATACGCACAGCTGATCTGACAGCTATGTGTACAACACTGCGCCAAGAAATCCCTCACCACCATTCTGTAAACACAGATGATCTTTTTCACACTTTCTCTGGCCTCTGCACCACAGTGCTACTGCCCTCAAGACAAATGTCCCTAAACAAGCATTGCTACAGTGATACAAGGGAGCCAAACGGCGAGGGAGACTTGAACATACACCGACAGAAGCACGTAGAGAGAAAAGCAGGCGATGAGACAGAAAAAGACACAAAAATCGCTTTCGGTTTCTCCTCAGTGCTTCTCTTTGCAGCGATTCACTTGTCTCTCCTGTGCAAGTGGGGCTGTGTGTAATATGGAGCAGCATTGTTTTCCTTCAGGGTGCTATTAAACTTATAGTCCCTAGTTTCTCCTGTCAGGAGTGATAGTATAGTCGATTATACCAGAGGCAAAAGATCCTTTTCTGTGCTGCGCTCACACCCATGCATGCATACCCGGACCTCTCTCATCCACTCTGCCTTCCTGTCTCTTTATGTTCCCGTGGCCTCTTCAGGTGCACCACAACACACATAAATACACACCCATGCAAGAAACAGTGCTCACACAGAAAAAAAGTGATGAAAGGCTGTTTATCCTGCATCCACTGTGATATCTCAGCCCGCCATGCAAAATGGCTGGACACGTTATCACCTCTGACCAGGGGAAACCACGGGAGTCAGGGACTGACGCCAGCAGCAAATACCAGCGCTAGTGTGTGTGTGTGTGTGTGTGTGTGTGTGTGTGTGTGTCCCAGCGGTAATAATCACCCGGATTAGAGCGGAGCCAAACCCCCGCAGGGTCCCCCCTCTCTCTCCCTCCCCTCCCTCCTGTCGGCCCAGCCCAGCCCTGCCCAGCCTGCAGCTCTGATCCCCAGTCTGAGCAGCCATGGGAAGCTGAGCAGCCGGACTGACATCTCCAACCAACACTCCCTGGCTACCAGACAGATAGGCAGAGAGGCGAAAAACACTTCTTTCTTTAAAATTCCCCATGTATTTCAAACCCTCCTCCCTTTGTTCTATTGATCATCCATAGACAAAATAAAATATTGAACAAGCTCAGGCAATACAAAGACACATAACCCATTCAACAAGCATACCCTTTAACCACAAGGGTGCAGTGAAATGGAAGTTGATATAGCCGTCAATATGTCTGGGTGAGGGATGTAATATGTTGGCAACAACAATGGGTAGGCACTGAGAAAGAAATGGGTTATAACTTAATAAGAATGCGCATCGTGTCTGGATACCTCGCAGTCAATCAATGCGGGGGATTATTATTACTGAGTGGAAATGTTGCCTGGATGTATTACACTCCCCCATGCCTGAAATAAATTCAGACAAATCTGAGTGTGTGATTCTGTGGGAGGGCACCCTGATACTGCCACCCATCAACAATTGTCAGGGGCACTGTTGAACTCCTGTGGCATTCGTGACAGAGCAGCGGTGAAAAGTCAATCAACATTTGTCTCTCAGCATCTCTTCTCAACCCCTTTGCCATTCTTCTTTTTTTTTATTCCGTAAAAGATAACACTGTCCCACCCAGCGAGGAGAAAGACCTTTGATTTAAGATAACACAGCGACCAATTACACCCATTAACTCCCTGCGGGAACTTTAATGTGCTTGTGTGGTATTCAGCTATGGGGTTAAAATTACCTTCTTGTTATGTTTAATCCTCTCTGGTGTCACTTTTACATTTTTTGTGGCATAAATCAGACCAAAAATAGCTGCAAACTCATGTCAGGGTTTTGATATTTTCTGTCAAATGTACCTTTAGATTACACCTATTATAATTGTCTCTCCAGGGGAATACGCCTGCATTAAAGGATCTTTTGTAAACCAGACAAAGATGTGTGAGAAACTGTGGATAGAATGTGGTATTAATTTAGTAATTTTATATTTCATTTTCTGTTTAGTGTGGTTAGATGATTTGACTCTTATCCCACAGAAAACACAAACTTCCAGCTTTGTGAGTTCACAGTGACCTTATTTTCTCGCTGCAATACACATATAAAATTACATTGAATAAAACAGAGTAATCTAGTTAAAAAGTTAGGATATAATCCTGAAAAATGTGTCAAAGAGTTACAGTAGATTCCCAATTTTTAACTACAGGTTACAACCTACATCTCACACTTAAGAATTCCTCAGAAAAACTACACAGTCAATAAAAACATCTCCCAGTTTTACCTTTGATTTTTCTGTTTGTTCTCCTTCTTGTTGAGGACCCCCGGCACACAGTTGGTGAGCTCGGTCCAGTCGGCGTGCAAGCCGCAGCTCCAGCCGGTGGAGAACCGGGAGAAGAGCCAGGTCTCCTTGCGGTTCGGCCGGTAGCAGGTACACTTCTTCTGGCCCGGTCTGCAGTCGCAAGGGACCTCCAGACGGACATTCTGGACCAGGTGCCTGCCGAAGGTAGTCCCCCCGGTCTTCTGGATGTGCAAAAACACGATCACGTCCTCTCCTTTGATTTGGAAATCGATCGTCCTCTCCAGGTCCCTGACGGGGAAGTAGTATTTCTTAACGTAGTGGGGGTCCGGAGTCGGGAAGATGTCCCCCTCGTCTTCCTCCGTGAAATACCCGTGCGGGGAGCCGAAATTGATCACCCCGGGAGCCACGTACTGATAGAGAATCAGCATGAAACACACGGATCCGACGACGATCAACAAGAATTTGCTGCTCCTCTCGACCATGTTCCTTCCAAGTGCGGTCCCTGCAGTACGCTACCATTTCCCAGTCAAGCCGACAACAGGGAGCGCGGCGCTCGGCTTCTGCATTCTCCCTCTCTCTCTCTCTCTCTCTCTCTCTCTCTCTCTATCTCCCCCTTCCTTCCTCCTCCTCTCCCCGGCCAAGAAGGACTCGTTTTTTCTGGGGCTTCAAGAGTGGCTCATTCCGCTTCGAGACGACCGGCGAAGTTGGCTCATCGTTCAAACCGACTCTGTTCAACACCGTGAAAGACGCATTGTAAACTCGCTCTCCCCTCCGCAAAAAAAAAAGAGAGTCCCCCCCTGTAGCCGACCCTCCCCCGTTTTTACTTTACTTTGGTTTTCCCGTCCGTCTACACAACAGGCTCACTGCATCACCATGGTGTTATATACCCAAGATGCAGCGCGAATTCTACCTTTTCAACCTCTCTCGCTCCCCTCTCTCTCCCCTCTCTCTCTCTCTCTCTCTCTCTCTCTCTCTCTCTCTCTCTCTCTCTCGCTGAGTGAAAGGGAGAGTCGCTTTAATTTAGTGGTTGACACGTAACGGCCGCGTCATCCGACATTAGCCAATTGCTGGTGGCCTTGGATAGATAGATAGATAGATAGATAGATAGATAGATAGATAGATAGATAGATAGATAGATAGATAGATAGGCTACTATAGTATTTCTAATTAATTCTTACTTTGTACTTATACTCCATTACATTTCAGACAATTACTACATTTTTGATACTTAAAGTTAGTTTTTACATATATAAAGTATATATATATATTATGCTGCTGTGTTAAGAGTTTATTTTGTTTAGTTATGTTGATATAGTTTGCTTTGCTTTTCTTCAATAAAAAATGTGCACTGCATTCACCATGTTCCTACATTTTTTAAGCCTTCCTCAATAAAACATATTTCACAGTGTATTTATATATAATGTGGTTTATATGATATGCTGCAGTACTGCATGGCCCAGTAAAAACAGAATTATATCATAAGCTAAGCTTTTTGTGTCTTGAGATAACTTTAGTTATGAATTGGTGCAATACAAACAAAAGTGAACTGAACTTAAAACATTTTAATTGAATTTTTCAACATTTCTAGTTCAGTGCTTTTAGTAGTAATGGAGTATTATTCGACCATGGGAGTCCTATTTGTACTTTTCTGTAAGGAATCTGAGTACTTTCCCATCACTAGATAGACTGTAGATAGTACTGTACCTAAACTAATACCATCTTTAAGTAATAAACCAAACTTTTGCTCAATTTAATGCAAAATTTTTGCTGCTACAGCCTCATGGTCTGGTATGATCAGTAGCCTATAATGAGTATTGTTAATGTCGGTATAAATTTATTCTAATATTTGCTGCTACCAATTGATTTTTGGGGTGTTACCAAAGCGAATCCTATCAAAAAACCTTCAGGGCTACAGTACTGATGATTTCCAGTTCAAGGTATTTAATGTCTCGCCCCCAAAACTTGCATCCCTGGAAGAAAGGGCTGGTAAAGATTGTGACTTTTGGTGAGGAATATAGGTGGGGGGAAGTACAATGCAAACTATACATTTTTATTTAGCAATCATGTGCAGGCTATATTCTCCATTCATATTTCTCTATACAACCTTGGTATTTTCTCTCTATATACACACATGTAAAACAAACATGGGCAACTGTATAAATGACTGTAAAAAGATGATAAACAACATAAAAATGACAGATAATACAGAAACAACTCATACTGCGATCACTAAATGGTTATCTAGGAGTATCAGTAAAAGTAAAAGCAGTTTTAATGCATACAAACTGGTTTTCTTCTTGAAAGAAATGTGGAACTAAATGTAGTCTATGTGGAAGCTGTTGCATTAATAGTGAAATTGAATGAAAAATTAGTTAAAGGTTGTGAAGTCAGTGAATTATTCCCTCATCTCTGTTTTCGTTTTAGACATAAGACACTTTATCTGCCATTTGTAGGCATACAACAGATATTGTTTGGTAACTCTCAGCAGCAATAAAAACAAGATAAATAACCAATACAATAAGTGTGACAGGTAGTTTCTCCATCTGTGTATTTGAAGTATTAAAGCCACACGGATGAGCAGGTAAAGTAGTATAAAAAAATACATAAAATATATTGCAACTACATGCAACTTCCTTATCCCCATCACAAGTACTCAAAACAGCAACATGAGAAGCAACACAAAAGTTTTGAGTGGAACAAAGCTCCGTTTACAGGAAAAACCATAAATGTCCGACAACCATCAAATCAACGATCCCTGGTGGCTCACGTTGCTTCTCGCGTTGCTACCGCTGGTGGTCAGCACTGAGTCCTGCTGCTTCTTCATCAAGAGCCACCGACCAACTTGTCAGGCATATTTATGTGATTCCCAGGGGCGATTACTGTCGAACATGTTTTGAATAATCACATCTAGAAATGGAAGAGAGAGACATGTATCAACTGCTGTGTGTTGTTCAGATAAGACTGCAAACCAAAAAGGACGATGTGCTATTTATTTTATTTATTTCTTTGCTTTTTCCACCAGTGCCCCTGAGGTTTCACTGCAATTTCTCTGGCATTTGTTATTGCAGATGTTTATTGTGGTAATAGGGCACAGCAAAAATGACTGCGTGTAATCTTGGTAAGCTACCAGGCCTGATTCCCACATGTTTCTTAAATGAAGCTCAATCAGTAAGATCAGTCCAATCAGCAGGCCCGCAGGGTGTGAAACCAGCAGTTGGTTGTGGCTGATGGCAAATGAGGTTGGTAAGGGATGAGGGTATATTTTCACTTTGAGTGGTTTGGGTTGATGATGTGATGTGTGTTTAGTCAGGCTGTAATTGCCTGTGTGCTTATCCACAGTTTCAGCTTCCATGATTTCCCAGTTGGGTTTGGATCTCTAAAGGCCTGCGCTCATCCTCCTCCTGAAACCTAACTTATACTTTATCTCAGGTAGTTTTAAGGAAGGCCAGGTGTTCAAGATGTTCAGATACGCACTTTAAAACTGTTTCAGTATGTAAGAAGTGGCTCTCATTTGGTTGTTTAAGTCACTTTTACCACTTTCTGATGAGTCATTCTTTATAAAGGGTTATTGTTTTAAAAGCTCTAAAGGTTGGTTATCCATTAATAAATTCTTGTGGGTTTTATACTTTCTTGTTCCTGCCTCTTGGCCAGGTCGTCGTTGTAAACAAAAAAGTAAATAATTAATCAAGTCTGCAGTTATTAGCCTCCACAGGTTTTTCCAGAGGTTAAGCAGTATGTTTCACAAAAGTTGACTTGAGTTAATAACGTGTAGCTTGTAGCTGTAGATCTATAAAGCATTAGTAATTGACTTATAAACCACTAATAAAGCCATTAGTCTCAACTTACAAAGCCTTTATAAAGGGTGACGCATTTGAAAATGGTACCAATTTTTTGGTTTTTATTTTTGAAGCTATAAAGCAAAACATTTGCTGGTGCCAACTTCTTCAAATGAGAGGAAAACTCACTCCAAACCACACATTTCTTTTAATAGTCAGATTCCCTTTTTGTCTGACACAAGGAAGATCCAACTAAGATTGAAACGTTCCTCTTTTTATTGATGGAGTTTCCCCAATAGCCTTTCACTTACTTGTGATGCTCCTTCTATTCCACCTTCGAAAATGTAAGGATATACTGCATTTCTGTGCTGTAAATTATTGTAAATAGAATAGATAGGTTTGGGTTTGACATTTTATAACATTTTTGATCAATAATGAAAATGTCCTTTCCTCACTGGCTGATACTAACATTAAAGATTATGTTTTTGGCATTTTGCCTTCTTTGGCTTGAGGGAACTCCAGGTTTACAGTGGGTCAGCTGGTTTGTTCTGGGAGTATGCACAACTAATATTAACTGATATGATTAAGTCTTGAAGAGGATCAGTTTGGTTAGACCTTCATTATTACAGCTTTGTCCTTATATGTTGCATACTCCTAAATTAATTAGTTTAATCAAATGAAACACAGCAAATCCGGGGCCAGGTAGTATCGGGGTTAATATGGACCCAGCAGCTAATTTTTGCTCCAGGTCCCCATAAGATTAATCCTCCCATGCTTACAGTGTAGATATAGACAGGAAATGTGGACAGAGAGAGTGAGAGAGAGAGAAAGAGAGAGAAGTAATGATTATTTGGTGTATAAAAAGTCTGGCAGTAGTGACTAATGCCACTTACACAATTTCCCAGACAAGTGATGTCTTCAGATTATTAGTTTTCTTCAACAGTTTCAAATTCAAATATGTATCATTAACCTTTATATAAGATGGAAAAAAGCAGAAAATCTTACATTAGAGAAGCTGGAACCAAAGGATTTGGCATTTTTTGCCTGATGGCTAAAAATAATTATTCCAGAATCAAAATGGTTCTACTTATCACTTATCAGTGAATCGACTTATTGTTTCCCCCCATCTGGTAACATCCCAACACTAAACCCTTCTGTTCTTTCCTCCTGTCCTCCCGCCCGTCCACCACATCTCCTCTGGGCTCACCACACAGCCTTGTGGCCACCACATGTGCATCACCGAATCCTGAATTTACAATCACATCACGTGAATTAACTGCATTTGTCGAATAACAAAAACTCCCGCTCAGCCCAGTCTGGGTTTTGGACTATTTGCACTTTGACAGTAGACATTATTTTATTTCCCCTCTGTCCCTTCCCTTCCTGAGATTATCCCAGCATGACTGGAGCTGAGCGGGTGAGGGCGACCAGCATGTGTGAGCCGGTTCTCAGTCTTGAATAATTCAGCCTGCTTATTTACATGTTCTTTACTTACACTGAAGCAGCATCCGCCTGTCACACTGCTGTTAAACACACTCATGATTATGACTTCTGCCTCGCCCCTGGCATTACCCAGTTGTATTAAATACTGGATTTTGGGGAGAGTGCGCGTGTGTGTGTGTGTCTCTCGCTGTGTTTGTAAGACAGAGAGAAAGCAACTGAGAATATTAATTCTGTGTGTTTGTGAGTGTTAACTCGTGTGTGTTTACGGCGGTACATTGGCATGTGTATGTGTGTGTTTTGCTTCCACCATGCGCAGTGTCATTATGAGTGCCGTTACTTAAAGAAGATGGATGTCACAGAGTGTGTTGCCCTCTGGCTCGGGTATAGAGATATGACAGTCTGTTTATCATCAGAACCAGTTTATTGTTGCTTTTGCATAATGATCCTGTTTAGATGGATATTTTCATACTGTTTCCAGAGGCTTTGAGCTGTGTGTTATGTCCTGCCTCAGTGTCTCACATGCACGCCATTGTCTGTCTTTCTTTTATGCTTATCATGCATTTTGGACACCTTTTATTAATGAGGTTTATTGTGATAATGGAATAAGAGTCTCATATGTTTATAAGGAGAAACAAACACTAAGCAAGTGCATGAACACACACAAATATTTACATATGTATGATGCCCATGAAATGCCCTCAATTAAAATG